GAAAGTTATTTTTGCAAAATCACATATTTCACTCAGCCAGTTAATGTTTTCATGAAGAACCAAACCTGAAATCTTTGTTAGATCAGAGTAACTGATCTAGAGTAACTCATGACTTAGTGCTGATGATGGACAGCTGTCCACCATGGAATTACACATTGGTGTCAGCAGATGTGCTTCAACAGCTCTGAAAGCTCAAGGGGAAAATCTGTGAACAGTATCTGATGTATTTAGAGCTCATAATTACAGAGCGCATACAGCCTTCATTTCCACTGGTGTCATAAGCCTCTCCACCCTGACTTTATCATCCCATATCTCTCAGTTAATCTGCTTGTCTCACTTTGATAACAACAATAGAGTCACTGCATCAAAGGCTTAAAACCTCATACCACTGTGTTAAGAGCTAAATCACATACTGTATACACAGATGGCTCAATATGCTTCACTTGTCCACACAAAAGGACTGTTGTGGTCAAGTTTATTACAATTTTGCTTTTTTAAATCTCTAATAAACGCCCTTGGGTGGGGCTGTAAATAGTCTCTGTATCTCTCTGAGAATCCATAGAGCGCAGTGCTGTAAGGCTGTGTAACAGCTGTTCCCAGTTAAATCTCCCTGTGAGGAGAAGGAAGGTGAACATGCCAGAAAACAAACCAGCTCCAGCAGACATCATTTACTTTTAATTGCTTGTGATATTTTCTTCTTCCTTTCCACTTAAACGCTTCCCCAATACGAGGAAGCTGCTAAGCTGTCAGGATGAAAATAGGAAGAGAACTGGATTAATGGATTAATGCAAGGTCTATTTGTGTATTTATAAGTAAACTCATAACTATGCTTTTGTGTTCCTTTGCTCAGTGATGGAAATGCAGGATAATGGCCTGCAGGCGAGCATCCTGTGCAGATGACAAAATAAATCCAGCTCCTATGGGTCATTAAAGATGTTTATATTATTAATTTAAAGGTCCAGTTTGTAGGCATTCATTGGCAGAAATGGTATATAATATTCATAACTATGTTTATATTAGCTGTTTATATCTACATACAGAGTGGGTCCTCTCCCATGGAGTCTGCCATGTTATTCCTACAGTGGCTCAGAATGGATAAATCAAACATACAGTCAGGTCCATAATTATTTGGACAATGATACAGTTGTCATCATTTTTGGCTCTGTACACCACCACAATGGGTTTTAAATGAAACAATGAATACCTGCTTAAAGTGCAGACTCTCAGCTTTCGTTTAAGGCTTTTTTCAAAAATGTAGTATGAACCGTGTAGGAATGACAACCATTTCTTCACACAGTCCCCCGACTTTAAGGGCTCATAAGTATTTGGACAAAGTAACATAATCATCAATTAAACAGTCAGTTTTAATACTTGGTTGCAAATCTTTTACAGTCAATGACTGCCTTAAGTGTTGGACACATAGGCATCATCAGATGCTGGGTTTCTTCCCTGGTGATGCTCTGCCAGCCCTTTACTGCAGCCGTCTGCACTTCCTGCTTGTGTTTTGGGTGTTTTGCCCTCAGTTTTGGCTTCAGCAAGAGAAATGCATGCTCAGTTGGATTCAGGTCAGATGATATGACTTGGCCATTGCACAACATTCCACTTCTTTGCCTTAAAAATGTCTTTGGTTGCTTTTGCATTATGCTTCAGGTCAATGTCCAACTGCACTGTGAAGTATCGTCTAATGAGTTTTGAAGCATTTGGTTGAATCTGAGCAGATAATGGTGCCCCAAACACTTCAGCTTTCATCCTGCTGCTCTTCTCAGCAGTCACATCATCAATAAATACAAGAGAACCAGTTCCACTGGCAGCCATACATGGCCATGACATAACAGTACCTCCACCATGCTTCACTGATGAGGTGGTGTGCTTTGGATCATGAGCAGTTCCTTGCCTTCTTCCTTCTCTTGTCTTCCCATCATTCTGGTAGTTGATCTTTGTTTTATCTGTCCATAGTATGCTGTTCCACAACTGTACAGGCTTTTTAGATGGTTTTTGACAAACTCTAATCTGGCCTTCCATTTTTAAGGCTAACCATTGGTTTGCATCTTGTGATAAACCCTCTGTATTTATTCTAGTGAAGTCTTGTCTTGCTGACAAGAGCAGCAGGATGAAAGCTGAAGTGTTTGGGGCACCATTATCTGCTCAGATTCAACCAAATGCTTCAAAACTCATTTGACGATGCTTCACAGTGCAGATGGACATTGACCTGAAGCATATTGCAAAAGCAGCCAAAGACATTTTTAAGGCAAAGAAGTGGAATGTTGTGCAATGGCCAAGTCATATCATCTGACCTGAATCCAATTGAGCATGCGTTTCTCTTGCTGAAGCCAAAACTGAGGGCAAAACACCCAAAACACAAGCAGGAAGTGCAGACGGCTGCAGTAAAGGGCTGGCAGAGCATCACCAGGGAAGAAACCCAGCATCTGATGATGCCTATGTGTCCAACACTTGAGGCAGTCATTGACTGTAAAGGATTTGCAACCAAGTATTAAAATTGACTGTTTAATTGATGATTATGTTAGTTTGTCCAAATACTTATGAGCCCTTAAAGTCGGGGGACTGTGTGAAGAAATGGTTGTCATTCCTGCACGGTTCATACTACATTTTTGAAAAAAGCCTTAAATGAAAGCTGAGAGTCTGCACTTTAAGCAGGTATTCACTGTTTCATTTAAAACCCACTGTGGTGGTGTACAGAGGCAAAATGATGACAACTGTATCATTGTCCAAATAATTATGGACCTGACTGTAGGCGCTAGATAAAGCCATTTGCGTTTTCACATTTTCTTATCAGCCACTGTTATCTTTTGACCAGATATCAAAGGTTTTAATCAGTTATAAAAAAGTTAGATGGTATATAGCTTCTTAAAGATCCCCAGCTAATTTTGAATACAACCAAATATTTTGAAATAAATCATATTTTGTTAGACCTTCAGTCCATAGGTGATATTTACAACCCAAGCCATCTGAGTCACAGTGAGATGACCATACACATTTAGAACTTTTCAGAGAAAATAAATGATTTTTAAAACTCTCAGCACTATCCCATTTAGATTCTAATATCACACCTCAGTCATGTCTTTGATATTGAATTTAAAGCTGCATTTATTTATTTATTTATTTGCTGCTTTGGGCAGTGGATCAAGCTGTAAATACAACACTGACCATGTTATCACCTTATAACCTTATTGGTTATACTGGCAAACAACTGCCTATTTACACTTACACACGAAGCAACTTTAGTATTCATTTGAAGTCATGTTTCTGGCAGCTGATGAAATGAAGTCTAATATTTACCCTTTATTAGCTTTTTCTCCTTATAAAAATACCTGCTTCTTAAGCTGCTAAATACTTGCTGGGCAGTGTACAGTAGGGTTAATACTGCTGCTGGCTGCAGCTTAAAACAGTGTTGATGAAAGCAGTGGGAATGAACATAAACCGAACAGTTTCAGGCCCTATAACTAAAGAAAAAAAAAGAGCTGAAAGATGCTAAAATGTGTTTTAGAGTTGATGGGAATGGCAGTCTGGTAAAAATGACCTGTGGTTTTGTAAAAGAGATGGCTTTCACATCACACACAGTCTTTGGTAATGTAAGAAATACTGATCAGTGCAGCTTTTAACATTTGTGTAACAAGAGATTAGATTAAAAGTACATAAAAAGCAAAGAAGTCCTTCCTCCTCCTTCACAAACTACAAATGAAAATAGGATCACATGTGAATCTAATCCAGTAAAAGTGCCACCTTTGCTCTGCAAAACACCCTTATAATTTGAGTGCTCTTTAATCAAATTTCAAACAGCAGGATAAAACAGCTTCCCTTGTTTCTTTTTTTATGCACTGCCTTCAGAGGATCTTACATGTATTATGTTGTCTTTGCTTCGGTAAAAAGTTGGACATATGGATTTGGTTACAGTGTGAATATGGCTTGAATGTAAGTGCTGCTTTTCGTTACATTTGACACGTGTATGCATTCAACTTTCTCTCTGAATAGCACGTTTGTCCTGTGGTGCATCCTGGTGGCTATTTTAACACCCTCACAATCTGCATATTGCTCACATGACGGAATTAAAGTCGGAGGTGGAAATACAGTGTCAAACATATGGTACACAAGAGACAGTCAGTGTTGGCTCTGCACTGGTCAGTGCTGGCTCTGCAGTCTTTGGCCAGTCTGGTGTATCCTTGATGTTCCAATGTCTGCCAGTAAATACAGAGCCACACATAGTGTCAGGCACTGAGTCAAACTGAGAGACTCTGGGCTCTGACCGCTGCAGTGGTGAGCCAGGCTGAGTAAATGAAAGAAGTAAATAAGGCGTTTGAGCCATGAGCAGGCCAAGCTGAACTGGCTGACCCGTGATTTTATTAAGGCAGTATGTGGGCATCGGGGATGCACCAAGATTAAGACCTCCAGAGGGGAAGCATCTGTAAATAAACGTTGTCAGAGAACGTAGTAGGTCTTGGTCATATGCAGCTGCTCCACGTGGCCAAAGTTTATGTTATACATTCTGGTTTGTTTTTCCTTCAAGGGCTCACTTAAAAGTGACAAAGGAATGACATAAGCTTTTCTCCTGTCACAAATGCTGAAAGGGACAGTTCACCCTAAAATCCAAAATCTAGATTGTTTTGGTGTGAGTTGCTGAGTATTGGAGGTATCGTCCATAGAGATGATCTCTTATATAATGGAGAGACCGGTAATGATCCTTCCGCAGGTTCACTGTGGAAATCTTGTAACGACTTTATTTCTTTTAGATAGTCAAGTCTAATTGTCTTCCTATATTGGAGAGAAGGCAGACATCTCTATGGCTGATATCTCCCAACACTCACTAGTTAACATGGGTAGTACAGTTTTGTTATAATCTTATAAATAATGTCTACGACTACAAAAAGAAGACCCAAGTCCTGTAGAATGTAAATGTCACTTTAAAGTAGACTAGTGATAGCTTCAGGTTTTCTCACAGATAAATAATTCTTCCTGTTTAATTCTTCTTTTCTTTTTCCCTGCAGGTTGAATCAGCAGTACAGGCGATCCATCAGGGCCGACGGGAGGTGTTAGAAGAAGCCTGCCGCTCCTACACCCGCAAACGCAGAGTCCTCATCCCAGAGGACCTCAAGCACGTCATCGTCGATGACCAGCATGGCTTGCTATACTGCTATGTGCCCAAAGTGGCCTGCACCAACTGGAAGCGGGTGCTCATGGTTCTGACAGGTGTTGCAGGATCCCTCAGAGATCCACTGGCAATCCCCGCTAATGAGGCCCACGTCCCTGGAAACCTCCGCACTCTGTCGGAGTACTCAACCTCGCAGATTAACCAGCGCCTACGCTCCTACCTGAAGTTTGTCTTCGTACGTGAGCCCTTTGAGCGGTTGGTGTCTGCATACCGCAACAAATTCACTCGGAGCTACAATACCGCTTTTCATAAACGATACGGCACAAAGATTGTGCGACGGCACAGGCCAGACCCACAGCCTGAAGCTCTGGAGAGAGGAAACGACGTCTCCTTCGAGGAGTTTGTGTATTACCTTGTGGACCCAGCAACTCAAAGAGAAGAGCCCTTCAATGAGCATTGGGAGCGGGTGCACTCGCTGTGCCACCCCTGCCTCATCCACTATGATGTGGTGGGTAAATATGAGACGCTGGAGCAGGACTCCCGCTACGTGCTACAGCTGGCTGGGGTGGAGGACCAGGTCAGCTTCCCCGCCTCATCCAAGAGCACCAGGACTACAGGAGATATGGCGGCCCAGTTCTTCCACAACATCAGCCCCTTCTACCAGAAGAAGCTGTACAACCTCTATCGCATGGACTTCTTGCTCTTCAACTACTCAATACCAGCTTACCTCAAATTTAGATGATGCTGGGAAATCACTCATCCACGGACTCAACTTGAACATGTGGAGCCTGGACTCTTGTTTCTCTCTGTGTAGGCCTTAAAATGGACCCTGCAATTACTGTTGAAAATGTATCCCGAGAGCACCAAAGTAAATTCATTTTTACAGACTGAAGGACTTCTGTGCACACAGAGGATACAAATAGGAGAGGACATTTAATCACAAGATGACCGTTGCTGCCTGAAGAAGGCAAACTATGTTTTACTGTAAACAGTGATCCAATGGATGTTGGTCACTGCCTTTAAAAGTGTGAAATACCATTCAGTTTTTGGTTTAATTTAATTTCAGTTGTCATCTGCTGTTTCAAAACTGTAATTTGCACGACAAATATAATCTCCAGTAGCTTCACGAAAGTATTCAAATCCTATCCAGACAGTGAATGTCTCCAAACGTATGTGCCTCTGATTGTGGGCCTTATTTGACCCGAGCAGATAATAATTTTTGTAACTGTGACTATGTTTATTTTTTTGTGCTGTAGGAAGAGATTTTTGTGCAACAAAATTGTCTTTATTTATTGTGTTATTGCTGACTCTACAATGTCAGATAAACCAAAATAGGTATATAGTTTCTCTCACAATTTTCAAATAAATGCATTTCAGCAAGAATTTGTTTACTGGTTTGAATATTGGATTGAATATTACTGTGCAGAGGCAGCAAACCTGACACTTGAAACCCCTCAGAATACAGCAGTCATGACTTACATGTCAGTCTTTTATTTCATTGACAAATCATGGCTGCAAAGATGTCATCTAGGAGTTTTTACAAATATGAGAGCAGAGTCCAGTCAAGCTTGATGTGACTGTGAAAATAGGATTATTACCATCTTTGGATGCTATTTTCAGATCAGTAAAGACAAGCATCTTTCTAAAAGTGCATATCAAACAATTGAAAATGCCCCCATACGGAGACTTGCATACTAAATCATTTGTTCACAAAAATAGCACAAAGAAATCTGTATTGTCAATATCTGGAACACAGACTAACATAGAGACAGTGAAGTACAACAGGCTATATTCAGTTGTACTGTGCTGCACAAAAAGTAAAATACCAGTAGAAATTTGGAGACACAAAACCCACATGAGAGAACTGAAGGCTTATCACGGTTTAAAGGCACAAACCTACATGAAATGAAAATGATCAAATCTAACATTCATCCAGACAGTGCAGCATCTGATTTGTGTTAATATACATTTACACTACAGTTATATGTAATTATTGCCGTAATACAATCATTTGCCATCTAACATTTAAGAGCTGACAACAGGTGTACAGATGTGTCAACAGTTTACAACAGAGTGGTCCTACAGTATTTGTAACCATTTTAGATAGGTGGTGTTGTTTCTACAGAGCCAAGCTGGGTGGAGACCAGTGCAACTATTGACCACAGTGAGCTGGCAAATATGGAGACCAAAGTGCAAAATAAGGACACACTTTCCTAACTTTGTTCTTCTGTTTTGAGCCAGTTTTTTTCCACTTTTGTTTTTGCAGCCCCTTATCTACAATGTTAGCTTTGTGCCTCAGTCCTGAGCATGAAGGGTTCTGAGAGCAGAAAAGTTGGATTAGAAAATAAATTCTGTGTGTTTGCTGTTATCTGTGTAATCACACAAGAATAATCTCCAGTACCTTTGCTCATTTCCTGTGTAATTCTCCGCTTTGCCAGATAAACAGTACCTAATTAAGTTAATAACTTGAATATTCAGCCGAGGCATTATAATCATTAATGCAGTTTTAAACAGTTTTTATTGGACCGTGTGCTACATCTTATTTTAATAGCGCACTGCAGGAACAAGTCCTAAACCCTGTAAATGAGCTACCATTTTTGCATTTCAGGTTCCCATGTCTCAAAGTCAATAGGTTTTTTGAATGGGTTTTTGGTTAGATGGCTGAAATAAGGTCTGTGGTTAATATAAGCACGAGAGATTTTCACATTTTGCTTGACGACAAAATACAGCAGTAAATACCCCACTCTTGAATTTTGAAGATTTTACGTGTCTTTAAAGAAGACAGTTGCTATCATGTGGCTTTGCGCCAGTGACGACAGTAGTATATTTAGTTTATAGCCTAACGTTAGCTTTTTACTTCTTCCAATAACATTTACACGTCAAAAATTGTAAAGTGTTCCTTTGAAAAGGCTATCTTGCTGAGCAAAACATGCAAGTATCATAAACTTTTGTTTGCCACAGAGCTTATTTTCTGCAATAATCCAAAATCCAATGGAAAAATCCCATTAGCTTTTTGAAGGAACCAGGGCAATGCTAACGTCAAAAAAAAAAAACCATAATCTCAGCAGCACACTATAAGATGCTATTCGGTGGTTAGTAGTAGTCAGTCAGCTAGCTATATACATATTACACTTACATTTTTCACAAGCTTTTGTGCTGCTTGGTGAAAACATTTATGGTCACTTTTTATGAAAGAAACCATGATTATAAATCCTTAAATAGTGATAGCTGGCATTTATCAAGTTAGCCAGCTAGCTTAGTTAGCTTCTGCTTATCTGGCAACTGTTAGCTATCTACCTACTAAGACAGCTAGGTAAAGACTAACATACAAATGGAATTTTATAAATACGTACCATTTCCCCAGTGCTCCCCTACTTTCTTACTAACAGACAATCCTACCTGCAATTGGACTGAAGACAGAACAGCAACACATTTCTGACCTGAAATTGTGGCACTCTGTATAGGTGTGTTCAGACAGCATGTAAAGTGCACGATTTTGACCGCTTGACTGTTTGTAGTAATTCATGTAAGCTAAGCTATCAAGCCTCTGACTGAGCTCAACAGAAAGTTTGGTTCTTTCTGTGATTTCCCTCTCGCTTTCTGTGAGGACACACAGTAACACTGTGTCAGGCTGAGGCAAGCAGAGATGTTGAGAGAGACACAGTGAGCAGGTGTCCAAGAAGAGCACACAGAGCAGGAAATAAGAGCGCAAATGAGTAAAACTGAGTGAGAGGTTATTACTGTCCCCTTATATGGATAATAGCAAACACACAGATGCATTCACTGAGCCCAGATTAGATCTGTGTTTGCGCAAATGAAATTATTCTTTGTGTAATTATTTGTCAACAAAATATAAATTGGATATGCTGCTTGCAAAAAAAAAGGATTCTGTCCTATTGGACGCTCAGTATTGAGGCGTACTTCATGACAACGTCATACTTACTGTACCTATTCACCTTCCTCTCTAAATCCAGTGAGCTTTGCAAGTGTGTTTCAGTCTCTTGCATAAAGGGAACAGTACACTCAGGGTGTGAGGGAACAAGTGTCTGTGTTAAACTCCAGTCCCAGCAGAACTGACAGTCAGCATTAGTCTGAAGCTCAGAGCCAAGAAACCAGTCCCCAGCAGGTCACCCAGAGCTGTGAGGTAAGGAATGGAGAAGTTGTCTGGATCCAGTCCCCTTCGCCACAGCCATCGCACCATCAGGCTGGCCACGTACAGCAAAATCACCACCTGGATAATGACAGTGGTTGGATAAGTTTCAAATGAGAGTATTTGTAAACTGTAAACTTCCGTAACATGTAGACTCAAGCAATGATGTCTTGTAAAAGTACAAGGCAGCATGAGCGACAACGTTTTTACTGGTTTATCTGACCTGAAGCAGAGCCACAGACAGGTAGCAGATGATGAAGGTGGGCGTCAAGGCAGTATGGCCTCCCTGCAGGAGGTGGATGGCGTACAGGAAGAGGAGGTGACCCGGGACTACCAGAAGGACCAGAACTCTGGCTGATTTGGAGTTCACATCTACATTAAGATAACATGAAAATCAACAAGCTGTGTGAACTAGTATGTCTAGTATCAGCACTAAAAATATGTTCTTGCGTTTCCTAGAAGCTTCAGAGTTGCTAGTTTCTGTTTAGGGGCACTGTGTATAGCATTGTTATTCATGAATGTCTTTATTTTTAAATGAATTGTGATCCACTTGTAAACAAGTATGAAAACTATGGTAGAACATGATAAGATTGGATTTTGGTTTTATTAAATTAACTTTTCCCATAAACTCACTTTCTTTGTGGTACCAATAAGACTTGTAACACTTGACAACCGGGGAAATACACTTATTTATGATGGCATATTAGGACCCCTTTAGAAAAAAAAAAAAAAGCCATGGGAGGGGGTCATATTCCAAATACAAAACTGAAATGGTAAATTCTTAGAAAACATCACATGAGAATTGTCTTAGAATATTATCACTAAGAGCAACTCTTTGGACTATAAAGCTTTGTGAATACAGTCCATGGCTCTTAAGAGGGCTCTTTGTAAAATTCAGAGCATACGATTTGTCTGTACCATAGACTGTATATCCACCTTAGTCCTAACCCCCATGATACCTTGCATGACTTATGGGCATGACTTTCGGCCCCGAACTGGAACCAACGTTTTCGTCATACAGTATGGGCAGCAACCTATCCCTCTCTGTACGTAAGCAGTGAAAACTGCACCACTGGTTACAAGAACAATCCCTTTTTGTCATGGCTGCATGTTCAACACTGTTGGTGAAGCAACAAATTTAGCTTACTCTGGTCGTTAGTAACGTTACAGACGTGGTTGGTGCAACAGGTACCAGAGCTGTGCAAGGACAAATGAGGCCCCTTTTCCACTGCACAAAAAACCTGCTAACAACACTAACATTTGGCTTTTTCATGTAATAGGAAAGGCTACAATTGGCATTCACACGTGGGTCAAATGACTCTGCAGTATTCATGGAATTAAGTGTCTCCTGCTCTGATTGGCACTGATTAAAGCACAACACCAAAGTGAACGTGTTAATTTCACCCCCCATTAACAAATAAGATGCAATGAAGCGTATAAAATACCATCCATCTCTGCCCAAGCAGCGCTCAAACATCAATCCAATTTACTCTGCAACGAATTTGAGAGGGAGACTGAATAAGTAAGAGAAATATATAACCACCGTTAAGTTGATTGACAGCTGTGTGTGCCAACTGGTATGCTCACTATCAATGGTGCTGCTTGCAGTTGCTTAGATGGGTGAATGGATAGGAACTCAATACTCGTGGAGATCTGTGCAGACTCCAAGTGGTGTCACCAGTGCAAGATGGCAGTGGCGGTATTCGGGATATTTTCGCTACATATATGTACAATGTGGGTAAGTGGAGATGCATCGTCTATCTTTCTATACAGTCTATGGTCTGGACACGGTTCTTAACATGGAGGTGGCTGAGTCAGAACTGAATCCCAGGAATTCTATTAGTTTTTGAAGTATATAGGTTAGAGCAAAACTATGCCACTATGGAGCATTAAGGAACCATGTTCTGATTTAATTTGGTTTCTTATTTTACACTTAATATTACTAATTTTCTGATGTGCAAAGTCTAATACCTATGCAGTTACCATTTTGAGGTCCACAACAATCCTGTTTGATGTGTTATGTGTCATTCATTGTTCTTCAAATAGGCTAGTTGTCTTTTTCCACAAAAGGAAAAATATACAACTTTAATTTGAAGGAGTACATTGACTATAAGGAACCAAACATTTATTGGGAATGAGCCTGCTCATGTTTAAAAATACAACACAGAGACCTCCAATTATTTTCCATTATTTTCAAAGAGAGGGAACCAGAGATTGTATCAGGGTGGCCTTGGCCTCCCCCTTGGTGGCACCACTGTTTTATGGGAGCAAGTTTGCTTATGTTTGCTGCTGGAAACATGGCTGGAAACAAAATAATTAGAGGGGTTCACACAGTGTTGCCAACTATCAACAATGGATAGCTGCATTTCATATGTAGTCATTCGATTCATTAATATAAGATACTGATTTATGTAGCTTTAATAATACTGTCACATGTAACATAGTAATTAATTCTTGATTCATAATTTCCAGTGAAGGGCTACACCTGGACACTGCACTTTTAAATCATGTATGCTTTTCCTGTATCTGACCTGAGGAGCAGAGAGCAGCACAAGGTCCAGGACACTTCACACTCATTGTAGATGGAAGAGCTCCAGGAACACTCCAGTAGTGGAGGTAGGTGGACATCCTGCTGGCCTGGATAGCCACCAGATTTCCCCCAACGCCTGCATAGACATGGAAAGTTTAGCACTGATCAGTTCCATAATAAACATTTCATAAAACTAAGGGAAATACAAGTGCATTTCCAGATTGGACTGAACTGGAAGGCAGCGATGTTTTGTTGTCTGGGACAAAAAAAAAGTTCCAGCTAATAAAAATGTTTTTCATTTTGCTTCTACATTGTGTTTTATTATTTGCCAGTGTGTCATCTCATTGCCAAACAAGAAGCTGAGCAGTCACTGTAGAGAGTAAACACTCTTGGAAAAATGATACACTGTCCAAACAGTCATTTTGCCTGAAATCTATTCAGTAGTTGTCCCTAATCACATGCACCCAGGGGACTTTTTCTCTGAAGGCTTGGAATAGGCAGTGTGGATGCTGTGCCATATTCATTGTAGCACTGCTCTCCGCTCAGGCTGAGTTCATTAGGAGTAGAACAAAACCTCTTGGCTTGCAGAGCAATGGAGCACATGGATCATTTACACAAAACAGGAGAAGTGTTTCTGGCAGTGGTGGAATCTAACCACGTACATTTACTCAAGTACTGTACTAAAGTGTAAATCTGAAGTACTTGTACTTTACTTGAGTATTTCCATTGTCTGTCACTCTATACTTCTGTTCCACTACAGTTCAGAGGGAAATATTTAACAGTTTACCCCACTGAATTTAACTAACTTGATTATTAACATTTTATATTTACAAAAAAACCCACCAACAACATATTATATGTTTATATACAATAATTCACCCAGTATAAAGTATCTAAAACTGGCTCCACACTGATGCACTACAACACTAAAATGCTACATGTATTTGTAAGTGATAAGAACTGCATAACAGAATATAATCTGATAATATAATACCCTCAAAGAAGCCATACTCCATAATGAGTACTCTGCGTTAAGAATTTGCTGGAGCAAAACATTAAATTCAGGACTTTCACTTGTAAGGGAGTATTTTTAGACTGTGGTATCTCTACTTTTACTTCAGTAAAGAACTGAATACTTCACCCACCACTGGTTTCTGGTCAACAGGCCAAAAGGGAAGAGTGTTGAATTGGAATGCAAATGCACTTCCTGTACCGTGGTGGTAATACATGCAGGAGTCTTTGGTAGCACTGAGGCTGGCAGAGATGCTGCTTAAACAGGAGCCAGTGAATGCATAGTTGGCATTCTGATCAGGCTTGTGGTTTATGTAAAGACCATTGTTATTGCTCTCTACTTAGTATGCTGCTTTGTGGGAAACAAACTTCTGTCAGTGAAGATGTGGCCCTAAACGCCTCTCTGAGGTTCCTTTGACGGGGGAGGAGACTGCTCAACTTCAGCAGCACTTTAATACCTCATGATTGATTAATGGCTCAGATTTGAGGTCCTTTTAAATAGTAATGGAATTAGCTGTTGGGCGTCTGCATGCTCTGACAATTTCCACATTACTACAGTTGACATTATTGATAATAATGAAGCCAATTATTAAGCTTGAATATCATTCTTCAAAGATCAGGACTGTTGAAACACTATAACCCCAAATCCCAGCTCTGCTTACTCCTTTAGGAAAACATGTCAGTGTTAATTTCTTTGCTTAGAGCGTGTGGAGGGAATGTCACAAATTATTTCAGCTTTAACTGTAAGGATTGTATCCACAATAAAATGTATTTCAGGCAAAATTAATTAAAGTTATCATCCTACTTTAATCATGCAGAGCCTCTAAAAATAAGGATCTTGTCTGAGAAGGTGTCAACTGTGTATGTACCAAGTCTCCTGCTGCTGCTGCCATCATTAGTCATTAGTCATACTTCTACTGTTATTATACACATATGATTATTGTCACACATGTATACTGCCAGATATTAATACATACTTTCAACATATTGTACCACAGTAGCCAGAACTATAACTATAATATTATTACTTTCAATAATGTTGTTGTAAGCTACTGTCATTACCTGCATCTCTCTCTCTGTCTCTCTCTCTCTCTCTCATTGTGTCATACGGATTACTGTTAATTTATTATGCTGATCTGTTCTGTACGACATCTATTTCACGTCTGTCCGTCCTGGAAGAGGGATCCCTCCTCAGTTGCTCTTCCTGAGGTTTCTACCGTTTTTTTTTCCCCTTTAAAGGTTTTTTTTTTGGGGAGTTTTTCCTTAACCGCTGCGAGGGTCATAAGGACAGAGGGATGTTGTATGCTGTAAAGCCCTGTGAGGCAAATTGTGATTTGTGATATTGGGCTTTATAAATAAAGTTGAAATTGAATTGAATTGAATTGAAAATAACTCAGTGTTGACTTTTGGTTTCACACGGGACACAAACAGTGGTCTCCTGGGTCAAAGTCCTGTGTTTGTTTTTTCCTTTGCTCCTGTCATGATTAGTACGGCCATTAGAGGTCGCTGTCTAACATTAACATAAATACAGGCCTTAAAATCTGCTTGTACAAACAATATTTGTGATCGTATTTTATTCAATGTCATTTCATGCAGTGGTGAAAGAGGTACATAGGTTATTAGCTTTTCATAAGAAATATAGTAATATCACAATGTAAAAATACTATTACAAGTAAAAGTCATGTATTCAAAATAGCATCCAACTAACAAAAGTATTATCTGAAAAATATACTTAAAGTATCTTAAAGTAAAAGTAACCCTGCTCGTGTTATATATTATTTATTTGGTGCAGCTAGTGCACTTAAGAATAATCAGCATTCTAATGTTGTAGCTGGTTGAGATGCTAATGCTTAGTGCTTACTACAGTGTTATGACGTTTAACAGTCAATAGGCATGCATCACATTTTTTTGAAGATACCATGTTTTGTATGTAGAATCTTGCAAACCTATTGTCCACCCACACCCATGTTTTTATTGTTGTTGTCTAATAAGAGCTGTGCTTGACTGTCATCTTTTGTTGATTTTGAAGCACCTGTTGAGGTGGGGCAACAAACACAGTTATCATTCTCCTTACTACACAGAGTTTGGTGAAATCATATAATTTCCTGTGTGTATTCCATCGCATAGCTCCTTCCAACTTTACCTATAACCAATTTACACCCACACAGGTGTACATTATGCAAAGCCTTTATTTGCGAAGTATTCAGTAATGATAGCTACTGTATCATATAAATGTACTGACTTTCCTCTAATACCACCAACAGGTCTATGTTTTCACTTATCCTGTTGAACATCTCAACATTTACATAAAGCTGGTGCTGATACCTTTTATTTAAAAAAATAACTTTTTTTAATATTTGCTGTAACTGTCATTGTTTCACAGTACTTAATGACACAGATAATGTGTGAAAAAAATCATACTCCTCTGCCTACTCTGTGGCCTCACCACATGTGAGTGAAAACAACCAATTAGTGTCGAGAAGTCTCCAACACAGTTGTCAATCGTGTCAATCAGTCAAACTGTCAAACTAGGCAGTGCTGATCAAATATAATCAAGATTCTGCATTGCATTGACTGTTTCTCATGTCTAATGTTTTCAGAAAGATATGTCAGCTGTAAATTGAGAAAGTTTTTCCTGCATGTCAGGGTCATGGCAGGTCACAGACCAAAGCGGACCTTGATGCTGTTTCTTCTTCATGATTTTAAACAACAATTTTAGGCCCTCCACTGAATGATTTGTACATGTGTATAAAGAATAAACACATGCTTTATAACCCACTGTAAAAAAATTGTTTCTGTCACTCTTTGTCATCAGTCATTCCTAAACTAATTATACTGCAGTTATTGATGCTCCATAAGAAATGACAAAATAATAATTGTTAAAACATACAGAATAAAACTTCAGCAATGTCTTTATATCTGCTTTTAAATACACTATAGTGTGTTATAAAGTATTTATGAAGTGTTTATGTACTTATGCACTGCTTTTACATGATTAATAGAGGGGTTAAAGTCAAGTGTTCAGATGAGTTCTTCTTCAACTCACCATTGATGACTGGAGTAAACACTGCCATGCCTTCAAAGTTTGGATTGCTCACTGTCTTATCCAGAATCAGTCCACCAATACTGGGAAGAAGACAACACACAGGCTGAGTCTTAGTGGAACACCTTTTAAAAATATTTCCCTCAGTTTTATGATTCATTTAAATGTCAGAGACACATATTTTTATAGTTACAAAAAAAATGTAATGATAATAAAAGTCCTGAAGTGACTGGACCCTCTGGTAGAAAGAGTGTCACAGGTCAGCTCACCTGCTGATGGACATGGCCAGAATGACTGGTTGCCAGCCTGACTTCAGGACCTCGCTGATTGGTGGAGAGCGACGGGCAATAATGACCCACCCTGGGATTAGGAGCAGGAAGAAGCCACACACAGCAGGAGGCAGATACCACATGTCTAGAGAGCAACATGGCAGAGTATATATGTGTTAACATTTTAAAAGGGATCAAACAAGACATAAAGAAGTCTGACCATGACAAAAATGATTGCTTCTGTCTGTTGGCAGACTTTTGCTAAAATCAAAGGTGGACTACACTGCCCTCATATGGCTAAAATACTCCTTTATCACCACAATACTGTTGCTATGCAGTTGTGTGATTTTTTGATTATCCTTTGCTCTTCTCTGCTTTAAAGACCCTTTTCAAACTAGTGTCCATACACGTCACTGCTACAGAAAATCAGTGTACAGAAAGTGACTCATGGAGGGTTTCTTAATGTAATGTGTGAGCTCTGACCTCTGTAACAGAACAAGAGGCTGCTGACACCAGCAAGCAGAGACAAAGTGATGAGGTCTCCCAGGCTGGCAGCAATTGGTGTGGCCACATTATCTGGGTTGATGCCCACTTTCCTGGATCCAATAATCACTGCCACCATCACCACACCTGATGAAGTGCAAGATGGAGACTTGTCAAAGAAGTTAAACAACACTCTAAGCTCTACTGTCCTGTAGAGCTCCTGTTGTACACTGTGTATTTATTACACTGTTAGCCATTATTCCTCTGCAGCAGTATGTGCCTTTGTCTGACCTAGAGACAACGCAGCGATGAAAGCAGTAGTGACGCTGCTGGCACAGAGGACAGCAGCCTGGATGACATCCACCCTTCCCTTGGTCAGACCTCCGAGAACCACCGCTGCAACAGCTGCCAGGAAGCCAACTACTGTGGCCTGGACCTGGGCATGAAAGAGAGAGCAGAGGACCATGAGTCTTTTTGATCAATCCATAGTGTATATCTCATTGTAGGCCTATCTGTTTATTCTTCAAGTGGCCAAAAACATTTAGAGGAAGATGAAGATGATGAAAGAGAGGTGTGGAAAATAGAGAAGCAGAAAAAATGCAGTGCAAGACACAACTGTATAGAATCCCAAAGTGTTCGATACATGAAAACTACATAGGTAATCAATCAAAATCAGCAAACTGTCAAAAAACTGAAGATATTTTCAATAATTTTCCATTCCATCATGAATTTTCATAATAGCAGAATCTTATTGGAAACCATGACATAGGCCTATTTATATCAAAATGCCTTTTTTCAAAGGGCTATGTTTATCTAAAAATGGAATGTTTCATAATTTCAAGTTTTATTTCATAATGTCGTTAAACACAGTATATAGACAGAGTAACTTAACCTATTCAGCTTTTAAGTATCATGCTGCATTCATGCACTGCTTCACAATGGAAAGCAGTGCTAACTTTGTAGTCAAACCAGATACATAGCCTAAATTAACTACCTGTGAGGGTTACGCATTGGCAGTGGTTTGTGCGTAAATGAAACCAAACAAACAAACAGTGTATGGCACCTATTAAATAGCTGTAAAAATGGCATGTATTAATATTGAATTTATGTAAATGTAACTGCCTGTGGGGTTGCATTTGCAGCCATTTTGACAGATTTGTTGTTCTTTTCAACAAGTGCTTGATCATGTCTGCTCTAAAGTGCTATAAACAATGTAACTTGAATGCAGCATTAGTTTAACAAGACTGGATGCTAGATAGCTAGCTGGCTAACTTGCCATGACAGTGTAAGACCTTAGATTATCACTTAGCATTTAAAATGAAGAGACAGTGTTAGCAGTGTCAGCTAGTAGTAGCACCCGTTGCTTAGAGCGAACACAGAGAAAGTGTCTGTGCTTTTCACAGAGTTGTTTGTCTTTCTCTGTGGAACATTTTCTCCATTCAAACATTTTCCAGGTAACTTTGAGTTAGGCAGCTGCTGCCATCTGTCTCTTCATTGTGATACTGAGTAACACCAACTCACAGCCTAGCTAACTGGCCTGTTAGCTAGCTAGGTAGGTAGCAATTACAGCCTTGTTAAGCTAGCATTAAGATGTTAGTTTCTGTGTCTGTGTACTGTGTTTATTCACGATAGAAGCCAGTTAGTTGATGCAACATTACTTTGACATAGTTGTTGTTCTAGAAGCTAACAGGTATATGCTAGCTTAAGAGGCAGGAGGCATGTGATTGGCTGAGATTACTGTCATTAAAAGTGTCATAGAGTACTCTAGAAATGAGTCCTAAAACCCAGAAATAGTTCGCATTTCAGCACTCCTTTTTCCCTGGTCTTGATGGCAAGACTTTCACATTTTGTTCTACTACATAAAAATTGTAAGTAGCCTAAATACCTCAGTCGAGACTTTTGAAGCTTTCATGCATCTTAAAAAAGGCAGTTGCTAACAAATTGCTAAATGGGACTACAGAACATCATCACGCTGAGTATGGCTTTACACTGTGCTGTGCGGGTGACATTTAGTCATGCTACCATGGTGTAGTTTGTTTATAGACTATTGTTAGCTTTTTACTTCTGGCGACTGCATTTAGACTTCAGTAATCATAAAACTGCTATTCATATGTGGTGATTATCTTGCAGAACAAAACTTTTAAATACCATAATATTTTGTTTGCCACAGAGCTTATTTTCCACAATAATAATTAAAAATCCAATGGAAAAATACCAAAGGCTGTTTGTCAAGGGAACCAAGGCGATGCTAACTAACGCATTAGCCTACAGGAAAACGCCATCCCTAAGGCACTCTACTAAGAAATAAAAAAGGACATTATGAGATGTGACTGGCAGGCTAACATTACACCCACACACTGACAGGGCATTTAAACTCAAAGATAATGTTATCACACAGATTCTCAGAAGGAGAGCAGTAAAAAAAAAAACTACTTGATCTTAGCTTACCTCTACTCCTTGATAGTCTTTCTTTTTCTAATTCAAAATTAAAACTATTCACAAGACAGAGACTAACTTAACCTATTAAATTCTTTATTCTGTTTCTCTGAACTTTTTTCCCAGTTTAAGCAGTGAACCTGCTAGTTCAGGTAAACTTCTTTAACTCACTACGCACTTTGTCTGTACTCACACACACCTCATATGAGCTTTTCTCAACCCTGCACAGCTACGCCACACCTGTCTGCATGTGACTGCAAATACTCTATTTTCTAAGTCTTAGGGTTCGTGTCACACATTTCTCTATAGTGCAGTGCAACTGATCATTAGCGCTTCACTCAACACCATCATGTTAATTTGTTATTTCAGGGGTAGTGTTAATGTGGCATATGTGTGCATAAGCCTTAAAGTGTGGCGTAGGTTTGGCGCTAACGATCATGTTAATGTGTCACCGAAATGAAACACATCACCTACACAACATTTGCATTACGCCCGTGTAACCATTGTAAGCCTATGGGAGTTATAGGCTTAATGTTAGATATTGGTCAGATCACACATGTCTTGTCAGGTGCTAGTGAGGCGTTTAAAGTACTGATGCAGATGAGTTACACACACACAGGCATGCACATAAAAATCATATACTGTGCTACTCTGCTCACTTCACCATTGAGTTGTAAGGTCAGCCAATAATTTACAGAGAAATATGAATGACAATTTGGGATTGGTAATAGGTTTGGATGAGCTATAGTTATGATATACTTTCTTCTCCGCTTTCTCTTTAAATTTATCTGTCACTCATAACATTTATTGTTTCAAACTTGAAACTTAGAACCAAACTTGAAAATTGATTTAGGCTAATAAAAACATAATGATCACATCATAAATAACTAATTATGGCTTTTATTTCTGTCTACACTGTCAGGACTCAGCTGTCTTGAAATATATCTACTTGATAGCACCAATTAATTCTGTGAACATCACACTGATGAACTGCTATCATTTGATGTAAGGTCAAATATGAGATCTAATATGGTTCCCTTTACTTTTTTCCATGTCTCTGGCTCTGTAAGACTTGAGTTCTTTGCTGCACCCACAGAACATATGAGGTCATTCCCAAAAAATATCGACAAACACTACTGATTTAAAAACTCACAAGTTATTGGTGAAATGTCTCAAACGTAAAACACAGAATATTTTCACCTTGCTGCATGTACAATTCATAGTTGCCTAACAAAAAGTTACAGCAGGCAATAGCAGTTTCAGCCCAATTTGTTAATTTTATCCAATATCTTATAGCTACCATTTGGAAACCATCTCCTATTGTTATTGTGTATGTTTAATTGGCTGAGATGCATTAGTGAAGTAAGAGAAGAATCTTATCACACCAGCAAAGCTTCTTGGAATTAAATTGTCTTGAAGCCAGCACAATGATGGAGTGTGTTATTAATAGGATGGAGAGTGTGTGGCGGAGCAGTGTGTCACCTGAATGAGAGCCAGATTACAGAACACCAACCTCCACTGCTGCTGAGCATCATCCATCAGCCCCGTGTTGGCCTGTGGATGGAGTCACATTTCTCACTCACATGGTATTGGGAATGGCTTTAAAGTTGTTTTCAAGTGTCACTGTGCAAATTTAATTAGCACTACATGTTAACATCATGTCAGAGTTACGCTGACAAATGCTTTGATTGGTCAACAGTGTGCATAGCTAATGAGTAAATATCACTCAGGCTGTAGTCAGGAGGTTACTCGCTGAGTGACTGATAATTAGACTAATTATTATCGATGGATGCTGATGTCACGGCACTTGCTCCCTAAAGCATATTTCTCTGTGTAGCCTGTGGAAGTGGATTCAATACTTGCTGATGTTAGGATGCTGGTAGACAGAATGGTAGCATTACATCTATAAGGACAAGTCACAAACTTAAAAGTACATCATAGGCTAACAAATACCTGTTACATATGCACACAATTAACCATCCAAGGAAGCTGATGCCAAATGTTTGTGCCAAATTTCCTACTAAAAACAAACTAAAATGTATTTAATATTATACTTCAGGCTGTTCTCATGCAATGTACGTATACCTACGAAAAGTAATGCACCAGAATTCTATAACCCACTTAATCATGACCCAGTAATTCGTATAACCAACAAAATCGTAAAGGCTGTGATCACGTGACAAATGTGCTGACAGGAGTAAAGGCGCAAGTAGCATAAAGTGTGAAATTCTGCGTAAGGAGGAAGATTAGGGTTGTGGATGGGTCAAACAAACATATGACTTTACCCCAGAAGACCTGGGTTCGTGTCCTGTACAAAACCAAGTGAACTTTTCACTTTTTTTAAGGTATGTTGTCAAGTATGTAACTTTCATTATGTACGTAACCTGACAATGCCCAACCAATGTGTTTTTTCCTAAATTTAATGTACATAACTGTAATTTCCAAAACCTAACCTACCATAAAACTCCTAATCCAAATTAAACACCCAGTCCCTTTTATTAGCCTGGTGTAGCTACCCATTTTCACAAATAAAGGCCTGTCTCAATTAGAAGCCCAGTCTGGTTGCCAAGCAGTTATTTGTAAAGAAGTTCTTTGGATGTATAAAACCGGACTGTTGACTACCCACTTGAGCTCACATTAGTTAGCTGTTTAGATAGCACGTACAAATATAAATGTTTAAACTTAAATAATATGGAGATTCTACAAATCGTTAGCTTGGTTGATTTAATTTTACTGAAACCATGAGCACCAGAGAAGACCCAAAGTCCCTCAGAGTCCCTCAAGTGACTTTCTTCTTCTGAAGCTGTCATACAGTAAAGTCAGAATATGTCCATTCCCCAAATACCCAGTAAGTTACTTGTATACCTTTAGTCTGTAAAGTTCCACCAATCAAAAGAATCAAAAGTGTTTTTCATTAAAATTAATCTAAGTTATAAATATTGTTTGAACAGGATAAAGTGGTGTGTGCCATAAAACAATAGTCTTAACATACCTAATTGATGTTGATGAAACCTAATTTTGATACATATATTCATACTGGTTGAAATAAACAATTTGATTGTATTTCCCATCTTTGCTGAGCAGCAGTTTTGTGTGAGGAATTGAAGACCTGTCCCATATTGACGCCTGTCCTAAATATAAGCCTGTTGAGTTCAGTAATTTAAGCAAATAATAGCCCAGGCTACTAATTGAAGTTTTACTAATTGAAGTTTTAGGGTATGTAACTTAACAATGAATACATGACGATGCCCAACCATGATTCTTTTCAGAAACACAATCTACGTAACATCACAGGTAAGAGCCCTAATTCGTTGGCCACTAGTTCGATCAATATCATACTAACCATTGTATGAGGATACCTTGTATAGCTGTGCACATTTTAATCAGTTGTCATCATCTCTTTCTGTGTGCGGGTGAGTGTGTTCTATATGTGAGTGAGTTTGTTTCCACTTACTGCTGTTGACAGTCTGGATGCCAAAGTCATCTCAAGATTGCCCTTCAGCCCCACCAGGGCTGGCACCAAGATAAAAACCTCTGAGACCTCCTTGAATACCTCCCAGTGCTGAAAAACACCACAGTGGTCTTTATGCATTTTCAGTTGCCAACAAGTTCATCAAACACAGCCCATTGTTCACATACATCACAGTGAAATACACTGCAAGAAATTTTGTTCTTTTACCAGACATTGTGCTTAGAATTTTGAATTAGTATTTTTATTTTAAACCTTTTAAGGCCACTTGGAGACATGTTGTGAACACATTGTCACATTTTAAGTTGAAGTGGTGAGCTTGTTACACATCCAGCAGTCACAGAGCAACATGAACATCCATTTAGATGCTGTTTCTGGTGATGAATATAAGTCAGATATTTACTTTTTTCTTTTTTTTAGCTCTGCTTATGGTCTCTATCAACTTATGAGGGATATATGTGGCTCCAAGTGTGCTCCACTATATTCACCAGCTGCTTCACCAGCTGCTGTCGTCTCTAACTGTGCTGTTTGGTACTGAGCATAAAGTGGGTTTTTAGAGCTTTATATTCTGATAGCAGCTGCCTGCTGCATTTGAAAATCAGTGGTAACAGTGAACCAAAACAAAACACTTATTTAGCCAGACAGCTAAACAATGAAACTCTGTTTTAATTGAAAGCCAGGGGTAGCTGCAGATTCAGGTGATAATTTTTGTAGAGTTATCACTACAAGCAATACTTTTCACATTGTTTTTACATTAACATTTGATAGAAATAGAGATCATAGTTGATGTAAATAAATTTTAATAACCTGCCAATGGAGATTGATTTTTAAGTACACTGCAAGTGTCATTGAAACATATCACAATGACCCTTCAAACATTTGCCAGTAGTAAATGACCTCCTAAGGCCTTCGTCAAGGCCCTGAATACCTAATTCCTCCATCAGCTTCTAACACTAAGTGATGTGCCACAGTTAAAGTGGTCTTGATTATTTCACAAGGTTTTTCTGTGTGTGCAGTTTTGTCTGTGCACTTCTCATTGGTTTTAAGTGAGTGGGACTCCCCTGCAAAAGAGCATTGTTTGTTTCTAGGATAGTGACGACATGACTCACACTTTTCTGCCTTACTCTGCCTCTGATTGGCTTACCCTGACATTCTTACCCTAACCTTAACCAGTCTCACTGCTCTTGTCTAAACCTAACCAATCCAACCAACAGAGGCAACAAGAACTAGCCAATTAGTGGCAAGTTAGCTAATGTTAACTGAGTTTGTTAAACTCAGCTTATGTTAGCTATGTGTGTTAACCCCATAGATACATGATGGCACCTATTCATTTTGGTGGAGTTGCTTGTCTGGCACATACGGCAATACGTTTTTAGCTTGCAGGTTTACTTCTGCGGCCCTTTGAACATGCGCAGTAGTGTTTCTCCTGCTAGCCCTGCCCGTAAGTTCCCACTCGACTCATAGAGTTTACAAGGTGACAATGGCATCGATTTTCAAGTTTTTCCTGACTTGAGCAAAGTTAAACCATTAAACCTCCATGGATCAAAAATTCATAACAATGTTATTATTGAACTTGTTTGCAGTTCAAGGTGTCCTATCAGCAGTTTTACAGATGTCTCTTTTATAAATGTGGTTTATGGAGAGAAATGCTTTTGAGCAGCCGCCATACTGCAAATGGCCACTTGGAAAAAGTGGAAGCAAGGCTGAGCTGCTTTTCTGAAGACCACAGTGTTAACGTAAGATGAGATGCTACCTGAGATAAACTGGGAGAGGGCTGTGAGGAGTGGGAGAGCTATGGGGGCAGCCATGGATGAATTAGGAGACCTGGATAAAGCATTGGCGGCAGGGCCCCGTTCATTCCTGTGACACTTGCTCAGTTGCACATGAAGTCAGAATGGTTCAACTGCCATGTATAAAATGCTTCTGTATTGTGCGGCCCATAGAGCAGGTGCACTAGAGACTTACAGCAGCCACGCAGAACCAAGTGCAGCTGAGCGTCTAACTTATGCCAGCTGCATGGCTAACTTACTGTTTAGTGCCCTGCTAACTTGAATGGGGATAAAATAATTTAACCTTGTGGCTCTTCGAGACTTTCAAAAGGTTACTGGACTGAATGGATCAAATCCTTAAAGTGAAATGAGTCACTTCGCGGGAGTTATGCCACTTAAAAAAATGTATCTACTGATTTACAGACTTCTCTTTCCCAATGTAAGTCAATGGGATAAGTCTTTTTTGGCTGCAGGGCACCTCATGACAGAGCCCTAAAATTCTTTTTTTTTTTTACATTTTTTTATTGTCTACTTTTTTGCTGACAGCATGAATAATGTTGAGAAAAAAGGAGGCTTAGAGACATTAAGGGCCTACTATTTATGTTATTAGGCTACATATAGAAGATGCCAATAATAAAGTTAAACATGCTCCAAATGCCTAATCATGTTTCCACCTCTCAGGTGCAGCAGAGAATTTAGACATTCTGAATTGTCTGAGTGTTGATTGATTTGATAAGTGCCTGTATTTCCATGTCCCATCTCCCATGAAACTTGATCTTTCAGCTCTTTATGATTCCACTGGCAGCTGGCTGCCCTGCTGCATAATTCAGGGTGTCAGTCATGTCATGCTGCTGGTGAGGTATTTACAAGAGGTTAAACAGGGAGAGAGGTTTTAGTTGGCATTGTTCTATCTGACTAGGTTTCTGATACTACTGTCTGCCTGGCTGTGTCCTGTTGTTTGCCTGCGCAAGTACTGTAGCCTATCAGTCATGTCTTCTCTAAAGGCCAGATATTATCAGACATGTACATTCTTCTGTATCATACTTTTTAGCCAAAGGTTGCTTGAAAGATTGCCTAATGGTCCCTTAAAATAAAAAGGACAGCTCAATGGATAGAAACCCTCAATTTTTGTAAATAGCGTTTTCTGATTTCTTTTGCAATTCTAAAGTGCATTTTGTGTTATTCGCAAGAATTCTGTTAGAACTGTTAGATGATAAAGTCATTACTTATAACATTCCTCCTTTGTCTAACTGTCTGCCTTCCAGCATTCTCGGAACCCATCGGCCGTATTCGGTGTCTGACTTCCGGCAGACGGCGATACAGCCTCTGAGGGCAGACCCCCGATTTTTTGGCATTCCAGTTTGATGTGGGCGGAGGAAGTGAATTTCCGTTTCCGACTTACGTTTATATATAAGTAAGTATGCTGAACCATTGCGATGGATTCAGAGTTTGCAGTGATGCCAATTATGTTCCGCCCCGTTAGTTCACCGCAAGGACCGTTTATCCTGGCAACAACTGCAGACAGCTCAAATGTGATTGGTCAATATCACGCGGACGACAAACAGCCTACAACTGGAAACCAGGGCTCTTCCGCTCTTCTTCCAGAGGCAAGATCTCCGGGGTTTGCCTACAGACTCTACATTCACTGTATGTAGAGTGTTTATATAGAGACTGGCCTTCCAGCAACTCAGTACTACTGTACCTGAATGCTAAATGAAACAGTGAACCTATAGACAACAGTGGTAATCATGAGTAGTCATAAAACATACAGCCACACCTGTCATATTCATAGTAGGTGTTTAGAATCAAATGTATCCATCTAATTATGAGGGGTGTCACAAACAACATGACAGTTGTAATTGACAAGAAGGGCAGTCAAAGATTGCAGATCAGGCCAAATGCCCTATCCTACAGTGTTGAAGGTACAGGATATGACATGTAATGACAGCAGAGAATGAAGCTGCACTAGTGGTTATGTTCCTGCCTAGCTAATCACCACAGCTCTACATTGCACACGACTTGTGCTGAGTGTGTGCAAAATGGTGCTAATATGGCGGTGCTAATACTACATGATAACATTGTGGCAGGACCCATGGGATGGCCGTTTTTAGCACAGCACTGCTTGCCGCACTGCACTGCTAAATGCCACCATTTCCATTCAGCCACCTCCATGTTTGCTTGTGACATTTGAGGTTAGAGCTGTGTGCATTGCAAGTTTACCCAAAGTGAAACATAATTCATGTATCTGCTGAATCCACCATAGATATTTTATTTGGACCACTGGCTTTATAATACAAACTAGCTTGCTGTTTGCAGATTACGTACCAGCTAACAAAACAGATCCATGCAGCACATCTTTACAGCTAGCTGACTAACCGGGAACTGCTCATTGGTTCGACAGCCCATTGTTCCGACCATATTAAACCCATTGTTCCAAAGTCTGTTCCGAAATCATCATGATGCTCTGTGGTTAAGGTCTGGTTAAGTTTAGGCACAAAAACCACTTGGTTAGGGTTAGGAAAAGATCATGGTGTGGGTTAAAATGAAAAAGAAAGTAACAAACACATAAGCTGTGAGCCTGCTTCGCCTCAAGCCTTTCCCAGCTGACCCAGAGCCGGTCGCGGCGCACGATCAAGGCAGAAATACGCCCGCTGGGAGCCGTTCAGCACTGCGGACCGTCGGACTAATGGGATGTTGGACCAATGACATGGACCCGACTAACCTTAGCTTAGGTTACAGTTAGCTAGTTGGCGACCCCTGCCTTGCATTGCCCTTGGCTGGTAGAAGGCAGTTGTTAGTTTTACACCTCTGCGTTGCACTGTTACATCATTTATTGTTGGCTGGCTAAATCAGTATATTTAGTTAGTAATGGATCACATAAACTGGAGAAGTAGTTTGGCAAGCTAACGCTAGATCTGGCATTTGTTACTTTGTAATGCAAGCAGATGAAGTTATTTGGAAAGCAGCCCTGGGGGTCTGGATGATATTTAATAATAATCCACTCAAGGTACTATTTTGCTGCATTAGCTAGGTAGCAATTCATTTGCGTTAGCAAGCAAGCTAATGTTAGCTAGCATTAGCCAGCTAAACCCACAATTTCACCACGTTTCACATTTTTAATGTTTCCTTCAGGATTTTTTTCAGCACAAGGGGCACTGAATTATGATATGGATCGATGAATAATCAGACCACAAATGAGACAAGAATTAAGACAAGACAATACATTGCCAGGGGTAGAGTGGACGACAGCTCTGGAGACAGACTGAACACATCAGCCAGCACTAGTTGAATTTGAGTTGCTACAGCCCTAAACGAATGTCTCCAGGCCTCTGGTACAAAACGTGCCTAATGGAAACACGGCATGTGTTATATCACAATGCACCTATTGGCAATAAAAAAGATAGATGTAAAATAGAGGCTTCACATTTATTAAATCACTTAATAATTTATCACTCTATATTTCATTTCACATGGATCTATTTTTGCCCCTCTGTTTTTCACTTCTCATGCATTTTCATCACCTCTATTTTTATCAGTCAGTTTTTCTTACTTCCATACTTCTCATAGTCTCGCATGACTCAAAAAACTGATGTCAGTACAATCTTACACACACAGACACACTTTGGAGCACTTTTTTTTTTCCATACTTGCACTACATCCATGACTATCCCAGCCGCCACCAATCCCAGGCCGGACACCAGGTATGGCAGTAGGATCTGGGTTGCGATTATCCATGAGCTCTCTGGCAGTAAGCCGTGGGCCGTACGGGTCAATTTGCACCTGAAGCCCCTTAGCTTCTTCCTTTCAAAACACAGCTCCAGAGCAAGATGGGTCACCACCATGGCTGATCTCTGTTAACCCATCCCTGCCTGTTATAGTGTTGGTAGGGAAAGACCCCTCGTCTGCACCACAAAAATCAACTCCCAAGCTTTTTTTTTTTGCAGAACCAGTCAAGCTGATTTGAGAAGGATGTAATGATCCATTTTGACAGAGAGAACAATAATGATGCAAAGAAGAAGATATCCTTTTTTTGACTGTTCCAAAGTTGTCTTCACCTCACCCCCGGCTCTTCAAAAGTCACAGCTGATGGTTCTTTGCTGAAAACTGGTTTCCTTAAAGTTGATTTTCAAATAAATGTGACAAAGATGGATCAACAGGCTTGTTTTGCCCCTCACCTGTCACTCCAGCACTGGTAGGGCAGGAACACAAAGTACTTTTGCAAATGGTGGACTAGGTGGAGGAAGCTGCTTTCATCCACTTGTATGGAGCACACACATATTAAGACATGCACACACACATGGGTCCACTTGACAGCAGATCTGTGAGGCCTCTTCTGACACTCTGCTACTGACAGACCTCCACACACACATGCACACATACACACACGCTCACTACAGCCACACACTAACACTCTCTCTCCTCATGCCTCACTCTTCAGCAGCCGGGAGGCCGAGGTGGAACGCTGGAAGCCTGGTCTCTCACGGGGCCTGAAGAGGGTCCAGGTCCTGTGGGACAAGGACATCCAGAAGGCCAGCAGCTTCTTCTCAGCCCTCCTGTGCTGTCGCTCCTTCTCATCCCTCTCCCTCCACACCTCCTTCTCTTTCTCCTCGGCGCTGAGCTGATGCCCAGTGTGAGCTTGACCACTCTGATGCCCCTTCCTCATTTTGATCAGGGGAGCGCAGGGATGTCCGTCCAGGCTGCAAGCTGAGTGAAGAGACACTGATGGACAGTGTGATGTCAAAGGTTTGTCTGAAGAGACACGGAGACTGTCGTGTTGTTGCCAGGGCTTCCCTCTGATTCCAGACGGACAGATGAGTCGTGACGGCGCTCTGTGGTGGAGGGAGGGACGAGACGGAGGACAGTGTGTGTGTGTGTGTGTGTGTGTGTGTGTGTGTGTGAGGGGGGGTGATGCTATAGATGTCTGTATAAGCAAGGTGACCAGGCTGTACTCTTCTGTCTTCAGCTTTTCTCTTTCTTCTGGTTTCTTTTGAGATCAGTTTAGACTGAGGATACTGCAGCTGTGCTCTCCCCCTCTTTGATAGCTCCTCCTTCCCCTGCTCTCGATGTCCTCACTATAAGTAGGTGACGCACTCTGAGCAGCAGCAGGTGCTGTACCTGTCACCAACACGTGGTGCTGCTGCTGCGTGGAAAGGACACAGTTTATCCTCCTTGATTGGAGGAACCACACAGGCTGCCACAAAATGTCATCTGCTGGGCTTCCTCGGTCTGTCAGACTTTATTACATCATTCGTCTGTTTGTGTCTTTCTGTCAGTTTGCCAGGGCCTGGCACTGAGATAAAAATCAATAAACTCTATATACACCTAAACTGCTATTTAGTTGTGAAAGAAAGACAGAATTAAAATAAGAAATTTTTTGGCCTCTCCTTACTCCTTACTCATTTGTTCACACTACATAAGCAGAATACTCAGTAAGACAATGTCCTCACACACACACAAACACACATGCAAGGACAGTGACTCAGCTGAAAAGTGTCCTTGAGACATGGCTTGGAATGGGTGCTCTCTCTACAGCTCCCCCTTCTGACTTCTGACTGTAACTGTGAAGCAACAGCTGTGAAAGACTGTATCTGGAGATTTATGGTATTTGTACACATGAATAATGGAGTCAAACCACTCACATACAGACACTGCACTCAGGCCACCACAGTTAGCAAGGCAACTTATAACAGCTTTTTCTTATTCCTGAATCTGTTGTACTATTCTCATAATGGCTGTATTGGCCTATGTCCAAATACAGTAGCAGCTACAGCTTCTGTCAACACGTCTCAATGTCAGTGATGATTCACTGCAGCTCAGCCTGACTAAGTGTTGAATTAGACATTACAAAAAAGGAAGTGATTCCATTCTTTGCCTTCAGACCTTATTTTTCATCAGACATTATAGAGCCCCAAAGTGTTAAATATTAAATCAATAATTATAAAAAGAACAGTCATATGACTACATTGTGTAAAATCTATAAATTAAATAAATATTTAAAAACTCTACTCATTGTAAAATGTTATTTCATCATTTTTATTTTCAAAGAAAATACAATTTGAAAATGCCCTTATTCGAAAAATCTGTTTTTATTTGACAATGGCATCTCCACACCACTTTTTATTTCATAATGTCACTTTTCATGTCTGATAGAGTGCTGCAGGGAGGACAGGTTTTGGTGGCCAATGTGAAAGTGCCACTGTGATTCCCTCATCAAAAATCTAATGGAATTTTTCCCACTGGAGCCTATCCCAGCTGACATGGGGTGAGAGGCAGGGTACATCCTGGGCAGGTCACCAGACTATCACAGGGCTGACACATAGAGACAGACAACCATTCACACTCACATTCACACCTACGGACAATTTAGAGTCACCAATTAACCTTTGGACTGTGGGAGGAAGCCGGAGTACCCAGAGAAAACCCACGCTGATACAGGGAGAGCATGCAAACCATGTTCAAACCAGGAACCTTCTTGCTGTGAGGCGACAGTGCTAACCACTACTCCACTGTGCTGCCCCACAGACCTTATTTCAGGCATCTAACCAAAAACCCGTTCAAAAAAAAACTACTGACTTCAAGACAAGGGAACTAAAGCTAAAATGCTAACTCATTTTCAGGTTTTAGCACTCGTCTCTGCCCCACTCTGTGTTAGCTGGTTCATTTCCTCAGCTGGATTTTAAAAGCATCCAACTGCAAACCTTATGTCTGGGGACCGAGGTCTGAGAGCCAATTGGAAGAGAGATGTTACTTCCTTTTCTGCCACAAAAGTAAAGCTACTTATACAGTAAATTTAACTCCTTTTTTTCTCATAATAAATCTGGTAAAATTAAATTATAATAAAAAGACAGCTAAGCTACCAAAACTGATGTGGCTCATATCTGATGTTTCTCAGACAAACAACTCCGTGAAGATAGCTAGGAACTAGCTACCACTGCTAACACTGTCTCTTCACTTTGATGCTGAGTGATAATCTGAGCAAAGCCCACAGGCCAACATGCTAGTTAGCCGGCTAAGTAGGTAGCATTAGCAGCCTTGTTAAACTAAGACTTTACAGCTGGGTTTAATGGTTTCATAGGTTTAATGTTCAGTGCTATATGGTCTGTGCACTGTTTAGTTACAGCAACAACTTCTAGTAGTTCAATCGACAATAACTTTAGCATTGCTGTTGATCTGGCTGGTGCGGCTAAACTTGGTAGCAGTTGTTGGAAAACTACATTTTCTTTCTCAACAAGCATGAGGAAATAGTGTCTTATAACAGAGATGAGTTTTAAAAAAAAATCTTTTAATTTGTAAAGTATTGTTTAATTTATGTATTTACAGTTTATTCATAGGATTATTTATTTCATTATATCTTCTTTATTTGGAGTCCAAGTTTATGCATTCTTGAATACTATGCTTAAATTGACTTGTAAATTCACATGTAGCTGTAGCTTACTGCCAAGACCTGTTAATTTGTTCCCATGAGGCAAGGTCACTTTTTAGACCCCATTAGGTCACTGTGACTTTCAAACCCAGCTTATCACCAGCTCACAGCTCAATCTATTCACCTCAGAGAGATGTGGACAGAGACGGCGAAAGGAGGACATGGCTGGACAGATATGATTGCCTTGTCTGACTACTGTAAGCAGTCGTACTCAGATGGAATAATAATCTGATCATAGTCCTGTTGTTACAAGTTCTTTTTAGTAAGACTCTTTGGAAATAATTTAACAAGACACTTTCTCACTGCATCAGCTACTGAATACACTGAGGTTAAGTTCAATAATCTATATAAAAGATCTCCCTTTAAAAAATGTTTAAATAAGTAGTTTTTTAGTGCAGATAATGTTAAACATAGCCTGCTGTAGTTCAGACTACATATCATCTGTACTGGTGTCGCAGAGCTGTGGGGTTTAACATCAGAGTGTCACTGACCTGCACATGGTCCAGCAGCATGCCGGCCGTCACCATGCCCAGTCCAGCCAGCAGGTATGTGGGCAGCACCTGGAAGAAGATCCCACTCGATGACTCTCTGGAGGAAATGTGGAGCTTCTGCTCCTCCATCTTGTCAGGACAACTATTGTTGCTGAGATTCATGTCTGATCTGCACAGCTGCCAGCTTTCTGTGCTCATTCAAACCAAACTGGTGCTAACTAGAAGAGCACAATACTGTTTGTCTTTCAGTCTGTCAGCCTGACCTGTCCTGTGCTAGCTAGCTTGGTTACTCATGTGCTTAAAATGTCAGATACAATGATATCATCTCTGTTATACTTTTTATTTCTGGTGACAGCTCAAGACTCATTTGTATAATTTTGAATAAATCTGACAGAATGAGCTACCCGACACCACTATTATTATATCTTATACTATATATCTGTATTAAGACCACATAGATAATTACTAAATTAATCGTTTTTACATTAACATTTCCAATGCTTTAACATTGATCTCTTTGTCAAAGTGACTTGGGTGGGTTTCAGATTTCAGATTAATCAGTATTGTGTAAAACGTTTATTGGCCTTAAGATTACACCACGGTTTCCTATGAAGTTAAACAACTAGATGGAATTAAAACACATTAGGCCTATCAGAGTTTTCATTGAGACTTTTCCAGTTCAGAATGACATGATGAGGCCCACCCTACTCATGTAGAGCAGTGGAAACACTGTTGCTGCAGTCTTAAATGTAATGTACAAATAAGTGTAAATATAATGTCATGTATGATGAACATTTGTGCTATTCCTAATTTATAATCAATTGAAATATTCCTATGGGTACATGAGTAATGACCTTTTGTGAACCAGCAGATGGCATAAGTACACCTCAATTTCCTTCAAAACACAGATCAGCACTTCTACTCTGAAATGCATTATATGAAAAGGAGGTCAGAAGACACAACATCTATAAACTGCATATTTACATAACTCTTATCTTCAAAGTCATTACATTTATAAATCAATAATAATATGCATTTTCTTACTGATGGACAAATGAACTACTGCTGTCTGCTTTTTATTAAAACAAATAACTGCCTTGTTTCAGCGTTAGTGAGCTCTTCACACAGTGGTTTTAAGATCTTGTGTTGCAGGCAAAGTGTTTGTTTGTTGTTGCACATAGGCCTATTGTAGAGTAATCCTTAAGAGACAGATAACAGCCAGTAACTGACCTGGTGTGTGCAATTGTCTTATGGTAGCAAATAGATGTCAGATGAAGGCCACTGTTTTACGATATTTATTTGCTGTTCCTAAAGAAAACAATAAAACTTGAGCATGATTTCAGAGTAATGCAACTACCAGAACATGACATGACATAATTTATAATGATTCAAATCCATGGGCTGCTTCATATCATCTCATGTGATTATCTAAGGGCTACAGGTAAAGGCACCTGCTCTGCTGTAACTGACAACTTCACGCGAAGGTTAACCCTTTTCTAACGAATTGTTGTCCTAGTGGGAATGCTAGCTACTAATGCTAAAAAACAAACTGATTTTTTCAAGAAAAGACGAAAGGTTAAAGAAGCTGTATAATGTGATTTTTTTTGCCTGCTGTTGGCAGAATAAGATATGTCTCCTTTCATGGGGCAAAACAATGGATGGTCAAGCAACTCTCCGTTAAACTCAATGTAAATGGGGCACTGGTGGCTTGGTGGTGGAGCGGGTGCCCCATGTACAGGGCTGTTGCCGCAGTGGCCCGGATTCAATTCCAGCCTGTGGCCCTTTGCTGCATATCACTCCCTCTCTCTCTCCCTCCTTCACGCTTGTCTGTCCTATACATTAAAGGCTAAAAAGCCCCAAAAAATATCTTTAAAAAAACAAAACAAAAACAACTCATTGTAAATTGGGCAAGTTAGCTGAGTTAGCCTGCTGTCACCAAAACAACCACCACATCCTGCATTGATGATGTAGTCCTTGTTGGGGACACATTAATGTTTACACTACGAAAGATGTGTGGTGAAATGAGTCCCAGATCACTGCGACCAGGGGTTTAAGTGATTGGATCGCAATGTGCCTTACACAAGTATTTAGCACTGTCCACTTGCGATCGGGTCACCCAAGGTGCATGTTAATACGAGGTATAAATAGGCTCTATGTCGTCATTGTTGTATAATAAATCAAAAATGATGACATACTAGATCTTAGCATCATTGTGACCCCTTTTACATTATACATAGTCCTCAGTCAGGGGTAACAGTTGATTGTTGGTTTGTTTGTTGGTCTGTTAATTTTTTGTTATGTTTTTCTGGTCACTCTGTGAATCAAAATGGTAGTCTGACATTAAGTTTGGGTGTTTCATGTCAGTAACTATAAAGAAGCAGAAATGTATTTTCAGAGAACAGAGACACAGCCCACTGTCTGCTATAAATATTCACTCTACACCTCCCATCTCCAGTCAGGGTCTCATGTTATATGTCAAGGGCTGAGCTCAAAGGGTGGGAGCCATAGATTACAGTCCAGTCTGTGGATCAAGTTCGTGTTGGACTCACTGATGGCTTGGTAGGCAGATTGTTTTGTCCATCAAGTCTCTTGACTAGATCATCTGCTGTCTGTGGCGTCCAAGAACTTTATTAGTTTTTTGCCCAAGATGTTGTGTTTGGTTTCCTGTGGAGTGCTGCTGGCATGTGCTGGCAGAGGCAGGCTCTCGTCTGTCATCTGGTGGCAGTTGGGCTCGTAGCAACTTCCAGACGGTGAGCAACGTCAGTGCAAGAGACCAGCTCAACAACAGAACACAAGAAGTCTCTGCTGCACAGGTTTGGTCCTTCTTAAATACATTTAGCGTGCAGCAACATTTGCATTGTTTTAGATTTTAAGCATGGGACTCATGGTTTTAAAATAACTGTGATTGTGTCTAGAAAACTGGTGATTGTAACAGGATATTTGCATGTACAGTTTGGAAATTAAATGATTAGATCATGCATTGACTGGCTTGTTTCTCAAGGTGTGGTTAATGTGACAAACATGGACAGCACTGGTGAGAAGAGCAGGACCCAACTTCAGTTCATCAGTGGCTCCAGTAACACATCCACTGCTAGAAACCCCACCATTCGTCTCCGGGACATTTACGATCCTCAGCCTAACCTTCCAAAAACTCCAGTCCGGATACGTCCTCCAGGTCCAAGACCTCCTTCTGTAAAGGAACTCAATTTAAGGCAAAGCTCACCCGGTGATCCTCCAACCAAGACGATTATGAGGAGACGAACTCTGTCTCTTCCTTCATCTGCAGAGAGTAAAAAGGAACTTAGGAGCCTGCAGGTTCGCTTTGTGGACTCACTGGGCCTCGAGTTAGAGGAAGTTAAGGTCTTTAAAGTTCAAGAGCACCCCCTGATACCCCAACATGTCATGTTCAGACTGCTCATGAGCTCTGAACTGGCTTTCGGGAAGTCACTGGAGCTGTCCCTGCCTTACTTCAAACCTTGTTTCCCTGAAAATGTAGGAGCTCAATCGGACTTCCAGACGCGTCTCTGCACTCAGAGCGTGTGTCTGGAGCAGGTCCTGTGTTCGGAGCAGGGAATAACAGGCACGATACAAGTACTTAATTTAGCTTATGAGAAGGAAGTCACAGTGCACTACTCTTTCACCAACTGGAGAACACACACAGAAACAGCAGCTTCCTGGGTGTCGAGTGGGTACCGTGGGGAGTGCGGTGCTCCAGAAACAGATATCTTCAGATTTCGTCTGCCTGTCCCACCCTTCATTTTGCAGCCAGGAACCATTCTAGAATTTGCCATCTGCTACCATGTAAAAGGATCTAATTATTGGGACAACAACAATGGACAAAATTACAAACTGTCATGCCACAGTTACAAGGTGACTGTGCCGAGGGAGTGTGAGGACAGCATGCTGCATTTTACCTGAGTGTCCACATGGGGAGCTGTAACACATACACAGGTATCAGAGGCAAACAAGCAAAATGCTGTACAGTAAATATATAACCTGTGTTTCCCTTTATGTATTACAAGCTGAGATGGAATGTAACTAAATACCTTTATTCAAGTACTCTTTGTTGCCACTGTATATTTACTCCACATTTCAGAGGCAAATATTGCACTTTTTACACCAGTACATGTACTTGACAGCTAGTTCCCTGATGACATGATCACTTTGTAAAAAATAATGTCATTAATATTGCTCCAAAAAACCCCAATACTGTTTAAAGTAGTTCAAATTAACCTAAAGGTCAAGGATTAACCCTAAATTTAAGGATAAACTTGAATTTACACTTAAACTCTAGAGAAATTCTAGAAATACTAAAACAATTAGACATTTTGGGAACACTAGAGCAGGGTAAGACTGTAGTTTTAATGGGTAAACACAGTGCGTAGGCTGCGGTCTTCAGTGGTTTAATAATTTAACAACAGTGGTTTGTACTAAATGTATTAAACAGAAGATAGAGGTAAAGGCAGTCATACAGAGGCAATGTAAAATTTGAGATATTGTATTTCTTGAAGTCATCAAATGAGGCCTGTTTTGGTATTTTTAATGTTAAAGGGACAGTTCACCCCAGAATCAAAACCATTTTCCTCTTACCTGTAGAGCTATTTATCAATCTAGAGATATCCACCGCAGAGATGTTTGCCATCTCTCCAACAAAGTGGATGTCTCTTTCCAGAAATCATGACCCGGTTACTCAAGATAATCCACAGACCTTGTTGTAAACAGTTTCATGTAGGAACTATTTTCTACTACTGAACTACACCAACCAACAGAATCAAGTGTGCATGTTCTCACAGAAGAGATGCTTGTGACAGAGCAAGATGTAAACATTAATGGCATCTTCCTCGGCTGTTCTTTAACATTAACTCAGAGGTCCTTGGTGAGCTAGCAGTAGGTATGCTTCCTTCTGCGTGGCGATATGGTGTGTAGTTCAGCAGAGAGAAAATAGTTCTTATGTGATAGTGCTGACAACAAGGTCCGTGAATTATCTTGAATAACCAGGTCATGATTTCTGGAAAAAATAATTGCTTACACTAACATTATTAGAAGGCAGACAACTCTACAGCCAATACCTCCAACACTCTGCAACTCACATCAAAACAATCTACACTGATCAATGGCACTACAGGTAAGAGGGAAAATATGTTTATATAATTTTTGGGTGAATTGTCCCTTTAAAAAAAAAGGCTTCATTACAAACAGCTTCTGATGGACGATTCTAGTTTGATATAATTCATTTGTATGGGTACAGCAAAACATCAAAATCTGCTGAGCTTCACCACACATGTGAAGTTCAGCCTTAGAGAGGTCTCCTCCTGAGACCCAGCAATTTATATTTGTCCTCTGTGGGAGGCATGATACTGAGATATATATTTCATACACCATACATGTAATCTATCTGAGTGCTGATGTTTTGTGGTCAGCACATCCTGGGTTTTCCAGTGATGTAACACACATGGGGGTGCGACCAACAGTCTTTTCAAAAAGGGGGGAATTGCAGCAAACACCTTTTATGGCAATAAGGGAGATAAATGATCAAATTTATCAAGATATAGTGTTTCTGTTCTTTATAAGGATATTGTTTTTTATGTATGAGAGTATAAACTATATGACTGTAAGATTTTAGAAGTGTATGTTAATTTCAAGTTTTTCTTAATACACATTTCAACCCACGTCCTGAACCTGCCGACAACAGCTTTGTCTCACTTCAGCCATTTTTTAAACTTCAGTAAACTGAACAAAGAGTGACATGTCATAATACATAAATAATTCGATTTTTCAGAAAAAAAGTTCTTTGCGATATGTTCGTACTTGTTTGTACTTTCACAAAATTGGGGGACTCATTAGAGACATCTTAATAAAAGAATGGTTTCATTCAGCACTAGAGGCCTGACTTTTTCATCCCTGATATGGGTCATGCTCTGAAAACACAACACCACCCACACCTCCAGTTCATAATGCTGGCCTTCTGATTACATTTTTTAAGTCTCAAGCCAGAGCCGAGATAACCCCTTTTAAAAAGGTCCAGTCTGGTTCAAGTCCTGGAAGGATTGCTGTGCTCCTGCTGGGCCTCTATTTAGATTAAATCCTTTTGTATAAGATTCTGCTCACTTTGCACTTTAATAAGTCTACTGACCCAATTTATTGATTAAAAGTTTGAGTTACACAACACTATTATTGTATCATAACACAGAATTTGTCCAGTGTGATATTTGCTGCTTTACACACATGGAGACGGCTGATCTTTTGAGCAGCTTGTTTGTGACTGTGAACTTTCTGCTGTGACCGACAGGGCTTGACCCCATTCTTCTGGAGCTTGCTTTGTTTTTTGCAGGAGGATTACAGTGAGCAGTGTTAGCTCCTCTGTGGCACTGTGACCCGCTCCCCTCAGGTCCCCCGACAGCGGTGACCTTTCACCAAAAAAGTTTCCACTGATACGAGGCCAGAAGCCAGAAAACTTTTTGGCAGGCTGCAACGCTTGGCTCACAGGAGGACATTCTTCTGCCTGCATTAGTCACTGCAGCTGTATGGCATGCTTTAAAAATGATCGCAGCTATCTGAACACCCATAACATTACTGAGCATGTCGAGCCTTTTAAAAAGGAATGCATCAGTCAGAGAAAACTAAAATAAAGGGAGTGCTTATTAAAGACACAGTCTGTGATCTAAAGTTGAACAGAAGGAAAGAAGATTGACTGACTGACAGGTCTTTAAACAAGCTAAACCCAAGTTATTATTTCTTCTGTAACTTTTAATGATTTGTTTACATCAGTAATAACTGTATCAGACCCATGCAGCATTTTTTAATATGAATGTGGCTATAATTCCAATTTGTGGGGTACCTAATACAGTTTAGGGTTTCCTCAGGATTTGTCAAGAAAAATGTAAATAGACATTGCTGATTGAGGCTCTACTCTGCTGCGTCACCGTACACTTATCAGCTGCTCATTCCAGGAACACTGAGAATTTTCTGTGCAATTCTGAGGCACACACACGTTGCACTTATGGGACACTAGATGGCAGCATTGCTCAAATATAAGACCCTACATATTCCATTGAAAATACAGTGAATGCCACAGTATGTATGCTTTTTGTTTCCAGTTGTGGTAGGGATATTCAGATTCTATATTTAAAGGAACAGTGTGTAAGATTTAGGTGAGTGCAGGGACACAACCAGTTGAAACTTTTCTCCTGACTACAATTCCTCCAGTGTTCATTGTTCAACAGGTTTTTACCGGGAGCTGAATTATCTGCAGAGGTCTCCTCCTCTCCTAAACAAACGGACCAGGTGATTAAAAACAGTAAAAACTCTGAATAAAGCAGTTTCACATTACAAATCAGCGTTTCCCCTTCATTGTTTGGCTTGTTGCAAATGGACCACTTGCAAGGCACCTGCTAATGTTTTCTCAGCTATTTTCTCTGGTAACTGAATGTGTGCTCACCTTATTTGGAACCCAGACGTTCAGCAGGTTTTTCCCAGGAGCCAAATCATCTGCAGAGATCTGTTCCTTTCCAAAACAAATGGACCCAGGGATTTAAAGTGCTAAAAATACTGGCTAAAGCAGTTTTACTTTAAAAAAAAAAAAATCACAGTTTTACAAAAGCACGAATGGCCCTATCTAGAGCCAGTGTTTGGTTTGTGTTTGGCGATGCAAGATGGTGATCTCCGGAGATGAGGACCTGCTCCATATGTAGATATAAACAGCTAAATATAATGTAATAAAAATACTATAATTGTTATTTTCAGGTGATTATACTAAAGAAAACATATTCATCATATTCTATTCCATTTCTGCCAATATATCCCCCTAAACCCTACACACTGGCCCTTTAAGTAAAAGGAGCTGTGCAACAATGTAAAAATACTCGATTTCAAGTGAAAGTCCTGCATTAAAAAAACTAAGCACAAGTTTACATTTAATTTAAGGTTAAATAACAAGTTTAACATGTAAAATCTGAATCTGCAAAGTACCACAATTAATAATGTAGCTGTCAAATAAATGTATTGGGGTAAAAAGTGCAGTTTTTGCCTATGACATGTAGTTAAGAAAAAGTGGGAAGTACTGACTCTCAAGTGAAGTACGAGTACTTAAAATTTACTTCTCTAAAGTACAGCTCTTGAGCGAGTGTACTAATCGACATTACTGTGCTGTGTATCTCCCCAGGGTTTGCAATCCATGCAAGTTAAATGCGCTTTGTTTTCACAATTTTTCCTTCTATTTCAAACCATATAAATAGGCAGTGTAAGTACAGTCCTTTTGTTGAGCCTTTCTTTATTCGCTACTTCCATAAAGTAAAATTAAGTGTATGAGTCTTACATTCCTGGAGAGCATCGTCAGTGACAGCATCATCTCTCATTATAAAAAAACTACTGTACTGTATACTGCTTGTGGATTGAGTGGTGTGCTGCTTTACCCTCATTATCTCATTACTGATTCCTGAGAGCTTTCCACTAATGTCCATCTGCCTTTAGAAACTGAATCAGTCTAACTGGAAAAACAGCCCTGAATGTTGTGTCAAATCAATATATGTCAATGTTGTTTATCCTACGATGCTATTTCCTAAGAAATTCAACAGTGTGTAAATGTTCTTCTGTTGGCCTAATTTTCAGTGCAGAGAATTAAAGACCACATTGACTTGGCATTGTTGGGGATCCCTGAATTGCAATTTGGATTTGTCAGCTAAATGTTCATTCTGTGAATTCTGCTCCAGCATAGTGAAACAAATAATAAAAAAAGGTTTCAGGATTAGTAAGGCTGCTTACACCAAATTTCTGACCTACTTATGTAACTCAAAAATAGTAACATCAGACAATGTTGCCTCTTTCTAGGCGGCAGGAGTAAAAATTAGTCATCCTCAACACTTGTGTTATGGTTTCAGAATGATGAAAACAGTTGGTGGTTGGAGGACAATTAGATACGAAACAGGATGTAGGCAACACATGATGATGGTTTTCCTTGGCAACTATGTTTCAAGCAAGTGATGTGGGGATTTTTAGGCTTTCTATTACCTCAGATGGTTTGAAAAATAGTGCATGTAGCTGTTGTTAATGGGGGGAAAAATCTCTCTAGTGAAGCACGGGTTGGTCTGAGCCCTGAATATTTACACCATCTGGCCCCACCCCTGTATACAACATGATACAGTTGTATTCCCAGTAGAAATGTGTATTGTGTTTGGGACCCTCAGAGGGCAATCATAACTTGGCAACTTTTGTTGTTGTCTCTTGTACTTGGTCTCTGTAGGTTGCTTGTAATTACTGGATTTACAGATGATGACTTACTCCACTGTAGCCGTCATTGTGGATAAAGGCATGTGCGTAGCAATGAAGGGCAAACTGTAGCCACAACAATGAAATGGTCTTTGTGCTGTGAGGCTTTAGTATGTCCTCTGTACTTGAAATGAAATCATTATTTCTCCTAAACCTTTGACAGTTGCACCAGAAACAAAAAGCAAACATCCCCTCAGTTGCCCCAGGCTGCCTGGGTTTCATCGCTCTGACATGGTGCTTGTTTGTACCAATGTTCTTCACTGACAGTCTTAGCTGTCATGCCAGTGTGCTGTTGGGGCACACATCCATGCTGCCTCACAGCACTGTGCCTTTATGTGGGGCTGTCATCTTGTGCTTGTTGCCGGTAGTTATATAAGAGGCCACCATATTAGGAGCCAACATGATGCTCAATAGTGACGTTTGCTCCGCAGACTGGCTGGGATTAAAATGTAAAAATTGCATCATGATGGGTCTCAGTGATTATGAGTTACGTCTTTAACACACTGATGTTTGTTTTGGAATGAAACAAGCATGTCAGTTAGTGTCAAAGATATGACTGATTTCCTCATATGATTTTTTATTTATAGAAGCAATATTTTGTTTATTTAAAGCCAATGTGTGGTTCAGAATAACAGTTCGAGGTGCTCAGTGATGCTGAGCAACAGTGACGTGTATTGTTCTTATGCAATTACTGGAAAATGTTTTCCGGGAATATATGGAAAAAAGGAAATGGTCCAAAATATGACGCGATTCATAATCCAAAGCCTAGTTTTGAACCAGAAGGTCATCACGATTACAGTTGGCTAAAAACTGTCGAACATATGTTCATCGTGTGCGTGTTTGCCCATTGGCCCTCACCCATCTGAGGGACACCCGGAAGTCAGGACATCCCCCTCATGATAAGAGCATCCCTCGTTCCTCCCACGCAGCTCCACAGGTTACCACGGCCTTTCTGGACTGGACTGGCCACTATCAGCCGCCACAGCTCTCGACCAGTAGCTGCTTGTTTCGTTACTCCAGACAGCAAGTGGTCCTGGAGTATGGTGTAATTTTAACTGGAGCTGCCATCTGCTCCTCCACCGGTGCCAGGACGGGGGCTGTGACTCACATAACGTGCGTGTTGATGTCAGTAAAGCTAAAAACTGCACTGCCAATCTGAACGTGCCTGACAGAGTGCCAGGGCTGCTTCTGTAGTTTTTACACTTTTAATATCAGGTAAGAGGTTTCTACCTTCTGAAAGAGGCTTTTCAGTGGCCTCACATGCACCAATTGTTTTAATGTGTTTGGCTGGTAACATTGAGCTTAGGGACAAGTGTGACGCCACCTCACAGTCAGTGTGGGCCAATGGCTTTTTCTCTGCCTGTGTGATGCTGCAGCACAAACACTTAATAGATCAACAGAGGAGGACTTGTTTTCATGAGGGAGTTTCACCTGACCAACCTGCTTAATTCCCTTCATCCATGTCCTCATTTGTCAGAGCATAAAGCACAGCATGATGAGAACAAACAGGTCACTGCCTGCACTTGTAAAATAATTGCTGCTTGATCTGGTGTAGGGCTGGGCAATAAATCAATATCAGGATATGAGACTAGATATTGTTGTGGATTCTGGATATCATAATATTGAAAGTGTTGTCCTTTCCTGGTTTTAAAGGCTGC